CAGCGGTGACTGCCCCCTGGCCAGAGCTGCTGACCACGTTGACGCTTCAGCTCAGGCACAGACCCCGTGTCTCTGCGGCGCCCTGCCTCACAGCTCAGGACACCACCATGCCCCCTGCTCTGGAGGGGGCAGGACAAACCCCAGCTTTAAGCCTTGGGGAAGTGGCGGTTCATGGCAGTCTGAGAGCAGCAACACAGCCTGGGGACAGGCCAGCAGGAGATGGGTGGAGTAAAGGAAGGAGAAAGCGTGCTGCCCATGGCCGAGATCCCCTCTCCCTCCCCCGCTCCCATGTTCTCAGACGCTGACTGGAGCAGGGGAGGCCTGGGAAGCTGGTGGAGTGTTTGCTTTGGACTCGTCCCTGCATTCCTTCGCCTCCCAGGCCAGGACCACCAGATAGGGCACTTCCTGTTTGGGCTGGGTTAGAGGTCAGCAGCCCTGGAGGCACTGAACACACACACACACACTCATTTTTTTCAGTTCTTTCGACCCCCTCCTTGGGGGCCCTGTCTGTTCTACTTCAGGCACCCTCCAGCCCCCATGCCCCTCCTCAACATCTTGTCCTCCCCACGTTACCTCCTCCAAGCTCAGGAGGTGAGAAGGCCAGCATTTATCAAGCAACCTTGTCCCATGAGAGGGAGAAGGGGCTGGGGGCAGTACCACAGGGTGAAGGGGCAGGGGATGGGCAATGCACAGCGGCTTCCCCAGCTTCACAAGACAAGTAGCTGGGTCCTTGGGGCTGCTGGGGGCGGGGGAACACAGCCTGGATGGGGACCAACCTGTCCCAACTCACACTCAGGAGGCTGGAATGGAGGATTTACATGGGAGCTTTCCAAGTTAACACTTGGGCTGCTAACAGGCAGAGGCGAGAATCAGCCAACCCCGCAGGCACTCAGGTGCTGGGTGAAGGATATAAGGCTTCCCTCCTTGTGCCAGTATGAGCTCTAGGGATGTGGCAGGGTCCAGCACTGCAAGGAGCATCCCCAGTTCAAGTCCTTGTCACATTGTGCCTGCCTTCTGCCAGCAGCTGCCCCTCGGTGCCCCAGGGGTCTCCTTAGGGGCAGCTGCTGGTTCCTGTCAGGGTGCTCTGGGCAGCATTACTTGCTCAAGAAGTGGCCTCAAAGAAGTACCAGTGACTCACAAAACTAGCAAGTTCAAGGAGTGGAGAAGGGGCAGGGAGCCATAGTGCTCCTGGGGGTTCATTCAGCCTGTATATGCTGCTGGGGATCTCAGCAGGACCTTGGCCCTCAGCTCCTCTCATCCTGACCCTGGGCCCAAAGTCAACCTTTGTTTCTCCCCCTCATCACTGGGCTCCCTTCAAGATCCTTGCTCTATAGCAACCACACAGGGACAAGCCAGTCTGGGTGGGACTGTCTGGCCCCAGGCCAGGTGCTGGCCTCTGCTGGGGATGTGGGTACCTCATTTAACCTGCATCTGCCAGGCTGTCCATGGAGGTTCCCCAAGGCCCTCCTCTGGCCATCTCCCCGACCCTGCGTCTCTAAAGATAGCTAAGACGCAGGCTGGACCTATGCAGAGCACCCCCCGCGGGCCCTGAAATTACAGCCCTGGTGGACCAGAAGGGAGAGACGCTGTGTGATTATGTCCTCGGGAGAAGGTCAAAAAAAAGCTCCTGGCATGGGCAGCGCCAGCTTTCACCAGCCACACCTCGGCCATCCGGCACTGGGAAGCTTCCAGAAAGTGGAAACTAGACCCACTCAGCACCAGCTCAGCTCTCTAACCATCTCCTGGGCATGTTGGCAAGAGCCTCCTGTGCAACTGCCCTGACCCCTGCACGCCGAAGAGCCCCGAGGCCTGTGCGTTGCTGCAGCTCTAGCCACATTGGCCAAGCCCAGCGCCTGGCCATCAGGCATGGCCAAAAGCAGCTCAGGTCTCCTTTCTGGTCTTTCTGTGTAGGAAGCTGCTACCCAGGGAGAACAAGGGAAACAGGACTCAGATGGCAAACTCTCACGCCGCTGCCATTGCCAGCGGGTTCCAGACCGTGTCCTGTAAGGGCCTCACACCACAGCCTAGCATTTCCTGCCGAAAGCAACCTGTGTGGGGCTTGGAGCGTGCCCTGTGTGTGCCCCACTTCTGCCCTGACCTCCAGCCGCCTTCAAAGCTGGGCACTGACAGCTGCAAGCCAGCTGTGGAGGCCAGGCTGTTGCTGACACAGGGTCCTCAGGTTTGTACATAAGCCAAGGGAGTGGCAGCTGGCTGTGGCTCTGTGGGACTCATGCTTTCCCCTCAGCCCTTTCCTCCTTGGGACTCCCCTCCATACGCCCACCCTCACCGGAGCATCAGCAAGCACCGCCTGTGGAAAGGTAAGCGAGGGCATAGTGGCTGGGCCCGGAAACTCCTGGAAGCCTGACGGGGATGAGAGGTGAATGGGATGTGTGCCTGTCTGGGCTCTAAGAGCCTTTCCCAGAGCCACACAGCAGCGGCTGCCACAACTGCAATCAGAGGCACCCTGCACCACCCCCAACTCCCATCCCCCCCACCCTGGGCTTCTGGAGAGTTAAGCCAGCTGTGCTCTAGCCTTCTCCTGCTCCGGAGCCCCAGGGGCCTCCGGAAATGCCTGCTCTTCCTTCCTGCCTTGCCGCACACCCCCAGCCCCAGTCCCACCCCAGCCTCCTCCCACCACTGCGATGCCTGACCCCTCTAACCAGCCAGGACCCTCAGCTCCTTGTGCTTCACATGTGGTCTAGGCTCTTTGTGTGGAGCTTGGAGGCAAACAGAAAATGCACGAACTTTGGTGCTTCCGGTCTGGTCTGGGAGTGGCCCCCAAATTAAAGGGCCAGGCCAAGTGACTCAGTAGACCTTGGAGCGATTACAAACCATAGACACAGGAAGCCTCCAGGCACAAGAAGTGGCTTTGTGCCAGGATCAGCCAGATGCAATCCCCCACCTTCAAGGAAGAGCTCTGAGATGCATCCCACCATCCCCTACCCCCCCACACAGAGGGTCACCTCACCACTGCCAGCGAGCCTCTCCAGGAACTTGCCTACCGCCTACTGGCGTCCTGAGAGTGAGCTGTAGGCACTCTGCACTATAGTGCCCTGCTTTAACTCACCTCCTCCAGAGAGCCTTTCTGTGTGTGATCCTGAGAAGGCAAGAAATAAGAAGCAACATGGGCCCAGCACCGTGCTATAGCGCGCTAATCTTCTGCCTGTGGAGCTGGCATCCCCTATAGGCAACTTAGTCCTAGCTGCTCCACATCCCACCCAGCTCTCTGCTGATATGCCTGGCTAGGAAAACAGTAGAAGACAGCCTAAATGTTTGGGACCCTGCACCCACGTGGAACACCCACGAACTCCTGGGTCCTGGCTTTGGACCAGTCCAGCTCTAGTCATTGGGGTCATTTGGGGAGAGAACCAACAGATGGAAGACCTCTTTCTCTCTGTGTCTCTCTTTCCTTCTCATTCTCTGTAAATCTCCCTTTCAAGTGAAAATAAATAAATCTCAAAGAAAGAAAGAAAGAAAAGATCACGCCAGTCGCCTGCTTGTGTCACATTCTGCCTCCTGGGGCTCCCACTCCAGGCTCCTGGAGGTCAAGGCTGGAGTGGCAGCCTCTACAGTCAAGTGTGCTGTATTCAGAGAGGCCTTGCGTGACTTTCTTGCTTTCCAATGGTGCCTTTTTGACATCTCCTTTGCATCCTGACACATGGCCGTGAAATCATGGTTTTGTACCAAGCTCAGCTTCCGCTTCTATCATGCATCCCATTTGCCTGTGGAGAACGCCTCTGGAATCTTCACAGAGCCATGCAGCCCTCAGCAACTTCAATTTTAGAACATTTTCCTCAACTCAAAGAAAAAAACAGATCTTTTGCTAGCACTGCTGTTACTGCACTGCCCACCCCCCTCCACCACCACCACTCATCTCCTTTCTGCCCCCAAGGATGGGCCGGGCCTGGCCTGGCCTTGGCATTTGCTCTGTCTGCCACTGGCTGTTGACCCTGGTACATACGAAGGATGTCTCTGCCAAGCCATATCCGTGGTCAAGGCCCTTGTGGGAGGCTGTGACCCTGGCCTGTGAGCTTTCAGACCCCTCACAAGACGCCTTCGGGATTTTCCCTGGTACTCTGCAGCCAGGCACCTCCTCCTGGGACTTCCCCCTGCTTCTGTGTGAGGGCAGCTTCCGGTGCCAGCCCCCTTCTCCCAGCTCCCATTTGTCCTGGTCTCCGTACCGGGCTTTTTTCACTGCCTGCAGGGTCTCACTTGTTTCTGAAGCTGCTCTCGCAGGAAGGGCTGCCAGTGGATGGGGAGGAGGTCCTAGGACCCAGGGCCCCAGGGAGCAAACTCCTTGGGCCCGCAGGAAGTAGCTGAAGCTTGGCCGACTGACATTGCGAGTCTCTGCAGTGAGCAATGTGGGAATCAGCAAGAGGAAATGCCTCCCACAGCGTCCTCCTCCTCCTTGCCCCCTACCCCAAGGCCCCAGGATGGAGCAACAAGGGTGACTGGCTTTCCCACGCAGCTTCTGCCCCCTCGCTGCAACTCCTTGCTCAGACCCCAGCAGCCGCAGCTTCTGGGTGGGTTAGGACGCACTTCCAGGGCCCTTTCAGTGGCTTTGCGACCTAAGGCCACCTCCATCCACCTCATCTTCTTTCCTCTGCCTGGTGAGACTCCAACAAGCACCTCGGTGTCCCCATCTGAGCAGTGGAAAGTTTGACTCTGGGTCCTGGTGTGAGTGACTGCGAGTGTGCGCCTGCCTGCCCGGGGAGGGGGCTGGGGAGCGCAGGAGGGGAGGGGCACAGCTAGCCCAGCCGTCTAGAGAAAATTGCTCCCTTTGAAGCTGCCAGGGGGGCGGGAAGCCTGCCCCCTCCCGCCGGCCCGCCCTCCGGCCCCTTCCCTCAGCTCCCTCCCCGCCCCCTCCCCGCCGTCCCCTCCCCTGGCCCGCCCGCCCGCCCGCCCAGCCTTTAGCCTTCCTCCTGCCGCCTCTGCCTCCCTCTCTCCACCAACTGCCCAGGAGTGAGCAGCTGCTCTCGGTCAGCCCCCCCCCCCGACTGACGGAAGTACGGACAGTCTGCCACCTAGCCGGCCTGCGCCTGGCGGCTTCCCCTCCCCAGGTAGGGCACCCTGCGCCAGCTCTGCACTGTCCCCGCAGCCCCCACAGTGCTTCGAATTGCCTCTTGCTAGCCCCTTACTGCCCCCAGCCCCTTTTCAACTTCTGGTCCTGTTCTCTCCAGATTGCCCCCCAACTGCCTCTCCAGGGCACCCAGATTTGTAGGCCACTCTCCGCTGGCTCATGGTCCCTACACACCCCCTCCACCCCAGGTACCTTCTCCCCTGCCACCCTTTTCTCTTGCCTCTGACTTGACTTTGCCTCATCCTGTCCATCCATGCCAATGACCCTGCTCTTCCCTGTGACTCCTAGGAGCACCCTCCGCCCTGCCAGCCTTGCTCTGTCTGCAGCTTTGCGCCCAGTCCGGGTGGGCAAGGGCTTCTGGGCAGGCGCCGCGCTCAATGCTTAAAAGCAACTCCTTCGGCCCTCAGCCTGTGCTTGGCACAGGCTGCAAGACTTGGTTTCCCAGGCGTGCCCCAGGCACTCTGCCCAGATGGCTCTGGCTCACACACAGGCCCTACCCTGCCTCTACTTCTTCCTGGATGGGGCATGTGCCTGTGAAGCCCAGTGGTGGGGGTCCTGAGTGGGGCTGCCTGAGCAGCTTGGTCCCGCCTGTCCCCCAGAGCACCTTCAGAATGGCAGGAGGAGAGGGCAGAGAGAAAGGCAGCTGAGTGTCCCACGAGATTGTCCATGGGTGAGGTTGGGTGCCTGGCCCCTGGTGACAATTGGAGACCCCAGGTCGTGCAAGGCGGGGCGAGGCTGGTACCCACTGCTTGGGACTCTGCTCTCCAACAGTGTGTGGAGGCAAACCCTCTGCTGGCCAACCAGGCCACCCGTGTCCCTGCCCACAACTTTCCTCAGCCTGCCAGCTCTCTGCCTTGTAGTGACTAGGGTAGACTCAAGCTGGAGCGGCCCAAAAGCTCCCCCTGGGAAGTCAGAGAGGTGGCTGGGCAAGCTGCATCCAGAGGCATGGGGCAAGGGGAGGGGGCATTTCCTGCTGACAGGCAGCCTCCCATGCCAGGCGCCCCCTAGGAGAGTTGGTGCTCAGGCAGGAGCACCTGTGTATGCCACATGCCCATGTATGGTGTTGCAAAGGACTGGGCAGTAGAAATGGGCTTGGAGCGGGGGATGGGGGCTGAGGTTGGAGGCTGGTGGGGCACCTCCAGCCCCTTCTCTAAGCCCCCTGGGTCCCAGTGGGCATGACCGCTCGGGCTGCTTCTGCACCCTGCACCGGATCAGGGCTCAAGGGTCCACATGGCCCCAGTTCCACATTGGTTCATTTTAAGGTTCAGTGCGTAGGGACGCTGCCCTATAGCTTCACAGCAGCTGAGGTGGGGGTGGTGAATGGCGAAGGCTGGAAGGAGAGGGTGTGTTTTCATAGCAAGCAGTGTCTTTTGTTAAGCAGTGGTCCCGTAGTCCGACAAGGCTCTCTGCCTGTCTCCTTGACTTCCTGTCCCCCTCCCTGCCACCCCTCCTTCACCTTGTCATTGTCTTCAGTCCCACGCATTCCCAGAATGCAACCCCTGCCTACTCCAAGTCCAGCAGGGGCCTGCGATAAGTGATGGGGGCACTTCTGGGGCACATGTGGGGTGGCTTGGGCTCCCTGGGAAAGCAGGCCAGTTCCAGACTCCCGCTGGCTCTGGGGCCCTTCCCTGATAGCTGGGGCCCCCCCACCCAGCCCCAGGGACCTCGTGCTCTGTTCAGTTTGCTCACAGTGCCATTGAGGCACCCTGAGGGGAGGGGCATGGTTTGTTCCTGCTCTAGCCCTACTCCACCACTGCCCCAAGAACCAGCATCCCAACCTCCCCTGGGGACCACTCTTCCTTACCCCTCGTCTTCACACCTGGAGCTCCCAGCCAGAGGGCTGGCCAGGGGCCTCCTTCCCCACCTGTGGGACCCCATTCCCCCCTCCCCGCTCTGCTCACTGCTTGGGGGTGGAGTAGTTCCTGGGCACCCTCTTGCCCAGCATGCCACCCATGCTCCTGGCTCTCTGTGCTGGTGCATCTCTTCGGATGGATCCCTGGGCCTCTCCCCAGCCTACCTAGATCAAGCTATCCTGGTCCCACTGCTACCCCACGGCTGCTGCCTGAGCTCAACACAAACACCAGCCTGGGTGGGCTCGGGCTGCAGGGCAGGGACATTGGACGGGCCTTACACAGCGAGGATCTGAAGCAGGGGGCAGAGGGCAGAGTGGCTCTGATCCTCTTGCAGTCTGAGCTGCTGCTTGGCCTTGGTTGCCTTCCCATGGGCATCTAGAGCTTCCTGGCTGCAGGATGGCACACAGCCCTGGGAGTCCCGGTGGCCCCACGGGACCTAAACATGGGCAGCCTCCGGGAGCCTCTGGGCCTCCTGGGCTGTTTAAAGAGGCCTGGATCCCGCTTCAGCCAGAGTCCCTGGCAGACTGAGTGGGAGCTGGGGCACGAGCAGGATGCGGGAAAGAAAAGGCTCCCCAGCCTTCCGAACGCCTGGCTGTTCTCCTTTCTTGGCAAGCAAGTGGGAAGATGGACAGACAGCACTCTACCCCTCTGTCACGTGCCCAGATCAATTATGGTCAACAGCATGGAGGGGCTGGGTTACAAAGCATCCCTTGAGTCTCTGGCTCACCCACCCCTCACCGCAGGTGACAACATCCTTCTTCCTGAAAGATTCTAGAACATGCTGAGTAGAGGCCTTGATTTCTTCAGTCATTGGGAGGAGAGCACATGGCTGAAGTGCCCTGGACCCCACACCCAGCCCAGCTAACCAAGTCCCTGCGCTGGCCAACTCCGTCACAGCAGAAAGGAGCCTGCGCATCTGCGCCCTTTTTGCAGCCTGGTCGCAAGGCAAGACCAAGGCTGTGGGTCCAAGCAGTGGCCAGCGTACCAATGGGCTGGGGCTCAGTCCCCGCTCCTCACTCCAGCCACCACCCTAGCAATACACAATGGGGTGTCAGGCAGGGCTGACTTTGCTAGCCAAAAGGGAGAGAGAAGGGGCAAGCAGCGTCACCAGTTCAGTCAGTCTCTCCTCAGTCTCTCCTACGCAGCCTCACGCTGAAGGGGTCAGAGGTCAGGTGGGGTTGCTGAATGGGGCCAGACTCACCCGACATCCGCGCCTGAGTGGCCGCCAGCACACATCTGCAGACAAGCCCGCAGCAGCTGCCAGACCTCAAACCCTGCTCCTGCCGCCCTTGGCTTGGCCTCAATGCCTGGCTCGGCCCGGCCGTGTTCTCTGAAGCTGCCAACGCGTCTTGTTTGGCTGGGACCTGGAGCAACTGGTGTGGAGAACTGCGATGGCTTTCAGAGGGCCAGACAAGGAGGGCCCTATGGAGGCGGCTCCCGGGCTCCGCATGCACACCGCTGGCCTCCGGCCTGGTGCTGGCATCCGGGGGAGGGCGGCGGTGGCGGGGGGACTTCTTCTTTCCTTCGCTCTGAGGAACTGCCTTCCCTCAAGCTCAAAGCGCACTTTGATGACAACTGAGCGCCCCTACCCTCAAGTCCCTCGGGGGTGCACTCCAGAAAACCGGCAGAAGAAAATTGGCTCTGGGGATCCAAGTGATAGGAAGGGGTGCCTCTCCGAGGGCCTGTCTCTGGGAGCCTTCTAGTTTGTGGGCTGTGGCCCTGCCTGCCTGTTCAAGATGTGTATGTGTGTCTGAGTGTGCGTGTGTGTGTGTATGTGGCAGGGTTGGGGTTCAGAGTGGAGAATGGCGGGAAGCAAGATGACACAAGACAGCAGTCTGCCTTCACTATCCCTAAACCACTACTGCCATGCTCAAGCCAATCTGGTCCAGAGACACCAGCAACCCCCTGGCAACACCCCCTCTCACTGCTGAGGGCCAGGCTGGGGCAGCTGGTACCTGGGCTGAACGTCCAGGTCTGACGACCCCCCCCCCCCACCACGCAAGCAGCAAGCTGAGTGCTTCGGGGAATGTCAGCTTCTCTCTCCGGGCCTCAGTTTTGCCATCTCCTATTCCATGGGAGCCCCACTGGGGCCCATCAGCACTTTCTGTAGTCTCAGTATCTGCCTCATCCCCTCCCCTGCCAAGCTGTGGGCACTGACTCATGCTCCAGTTCTCTGAGGAGAATGAGGGCTGTGCTGGGCCGCCCGCCTGGCCCCCAGCCCGCCAACTAAGCCGCGCGAAGCTGGCCTTGCCTCCCTCCACTCTCATGGTGAGCCAGGGTTGGAGCCCAGAGCTAGGCGGAGAGCCAGCCTCTGCCCTGTGCCCCATCAGCCCCTTGGAGACACCCAGGCTCACGACCGCAAGGACACCGGGCTGGGACTGCTGCCGCATGTCCTCCACAGCGCTGGGCACCCGGCACCAGCCTGATGAGGCCAGTCAGGCCCCCAGTGGCCAGGTGGGCCCTGGCTGGCTGCCCAGTACCCTAGCAAGCTGCCCTGTGAGGAGCGAGGGAGTTGGCTCCTTGGGCAGGCTGTGCTGTGGAGCCCTCCAGGCCCGTGACGGGATGATGGCCCCCCACAGCGCCCCGCCTGCACCTGGCCAACCACCCCAGCACAGCCCCAGCTGCCCAGCCCTGACTCACTACCCTGTGAGGTAGCGGCTTTGGCAGGGGCGGTACCGGGCAGCTGCCTCCCCGTCTCTATCCTGCCTTCTCGCCTGCATCCTCCCTTGCTTTCTCTAGAGGCTACAAGCTGAAGGGGAGAAAGAAGGGGAACAACATTTGGGTAGGTGAGCACAGCTGCCTCTACCTGCACTGCGGCCAACTCCGGGGCTTTCCCGGACGGCCCTGAGTCAGCCTGTAGCTTGGACAGAGTGGAGAAGGGGCTAGGCACACCTCCAGCAGAGCCTGGCCAAGGACTGCAAGGCAGCCTCTTCCTGGGAGAGGGAAATAGAACTACGCTGTGAGGTCTGCAGCCAGGGCCTTGGGTAGGGGGCTCTGTAGGGCCGAGGCTGGCTTCGTGAGATGTAGCCCCAGAGCGCTCGTGAAACGGCCCTAGCATTGGCTGCTTGCACCCAGAGCCAGCCAGGCCTGCTGGCGGCAAGGACCCTGCAACAGCAGGAACTGGTGGCTAGCTCAGGCCCCTGCCCCTCACCTTGTGTCCTGGGCCTACCAGAAAGGCAGCCGGCAGTCTGAGATTGGAGCTCAGCTGGACCCCAAGGAAGCAGCTCCTTGGCTAGGCTGGGTTTGGGGCCAGCTGCAGTCCCTGGGTACACAGTTACCCCCGGTAACACTAGTTCCTCTGGACATTTGTTCCCAGTGAACAGGCAGGGACCCAGGAGGCGGTGGGCAGGCAGATGTGGGCACTGGGGGCAGGCTCAGGCAAGGGCAGCTTCCCCTTCCCCCTCCCCACTGCTGCCTCCATCAGCCTGAGGTGTCTTCAGACAAGCCTGCCCCTGCCTGCCACCCAGGCTGCTGCCTGTCCTTCCCTGCCCCCACCCCCACGGCGGAGCCTCTCTGGGGACCAAGGGCACATGGGTACAAAGGGAGGCCAGAAGTAGGCCTGGAGGCCAAAGGCTGTGCTGCGTGGCAGTTTCCCGCGGGAGGAAGCCAAGGCCCCAGCAAGTGAGCTGGTGAGCCAGCATGGGGCCCCCTCTGCTCACAGCTGCCTCGGCCCACCGTGCCCCTGGCTGTGGGAGTTCCTTGAGGGAAGCGTGGGCAGAGAGAAAAGCAGTCCCATGGCCCAGAGCCCAGAACTCCATTCTTGGCAGCCCTTGGCATCAATGCCCTCTCGTCCCTACTCCCAGGTGGGTTCTGGCTGACTCACTGGCCTGCTGGGGAGGAAGGGGGCTTCATAGGCCGAGGTGCCAGCTCCCAGCCTGCCTGCTGCTTTCCACTTGCCCCAGTACTGGCTATGGCAAAGCACACAATGCCAGCTGCCGCTAGGGCACATACAGGAGTGCTAACTGAAGAGCAGCCCCTCTTCGCCCTTGTGTCCCAGGCTCATCAACTATGTGTGTGCTGTGGCTCCTCGCGGCTCTGCTGGCCATTGGCCAGGCCCTACCCTTTGAACAGAAAGGCTTCTGGGACTTCGCCCTAGACGATGGGCTGCTCATGATGAACGATGAAGAGGCATCGGGTGCCGACACGACCTCAGGAGTGCCAGACCAGGATGCCGTCACGCCCACTTTCAGTGCTATGTGTCCCTTCGGGTGTCACTGCCATCTGCGGGTCGTTCAGTGTTCTGACCTGGGTCAGTGCTTGAATACTGTGTGTGTGAGAAAGAGAGAGAGCCCATGTGTGTGTGCTATGGGATAAAGGGGACAGGACAGGTTGCAGGGAGGCAAAGTGAGTGGGCCATCGGGTATGGAGGCCATGATGTGAGGGTAAAGATGTGAGGGTGCCTTGCCGTTGGCTGCAGAGGCGTGGGAAAACAGCCCAACTCTAGGGTTTGGCCTACTGTGGCTAGGACCCCATGATTGTGTCCAGAGCTCTTGGGGCGGGGGGAGGGAGAGGCCGTTACGGCCCGGGGCCATGTACTCACACTGGCACACTGGTGTCGGCCCCAGGTCTGAAGACTGTGCCCAAGGAGGTGTCGCCTGACACCACGCTGTTGGACCTGCAGAACAACGACATCACTGAGCTGCGCAAGGATGACTTCAAGGGCCTGCAGCACCTCTACGTGAGCCCCTCCCCGTTCAGCGTGACTGGGTCCTTCTGGAGGAGCTGTGGGGGTCGGGAAGGAGGGGGATGGGTTCCCAGTGGGCATGCATGCTCCGTGAAGCAGCTGCTGAGGTCCTGGCATGGGAGCACTCAGCCCACTACCCTTGTGGCAGAAAACACAGGTAGAAAGTTCACTGTAGCCAGTGTGCAAGGGGGGGAAACTGAGGCACAAGAAGCAGCAGTTCCCTGTGCCAGCGAACAGCAGTATGACTGTGCCCTGAGCTGGCTCCCTGCCCTGTGCCCAACCAGTGAGCATGGCATGAGCTCCTAGAGGCCAGGCTAGACAGCTCTGCAGCATGCTCAGGCGGCCCCAGCAGAAGGGAGCAAGGAAGCCTGGGACTGGCTATCCACCTCCTGCCTTCTGTGCCTCAGGCCCTTGTCCTGGTGAACAACAAAATCACCAAGATCCATGAGAAGGCCTTCAGCCCCCTGCGGAAGCTGCAGAAGCTCTACATCTCCAAGAACCACCTGGTGGAGATTCCACCCAACCTTCCCAACTCACTGGTAGAGCTGCGCATACATGACAACCGCATCCGCAAGGTGCCCAAGGGCGTGTTCAGTGGGCTCCGCAACATGAACTGCATCGGTAAGTGCCGCTAAAGGTAAAGAGGCACGCAGACGAGGCCGCAGACGGGCCCGGTAGGCCTCCTGGAACATTCCAGAGCCTTGTCTCAGAGCATGGTTAGCTTGAGAACCAGTGTGTCAACAAGTTTAAAGAAAGGCAGAGTATCTGTCAGCCAGATGGCCGATGCAGGTCATCACTGTGGCTGAAGGGCAGTGGGCAGAATGACGCCCTAAGGCTACCAGTGTTGAGCAGCCAGGAACTGTCAGTTTGTCTGCTGAGACATGTCCATCTCTCACTCCATTAGAGATGGGCGGGAACCCCCTTGAGAACAGTGGCTTTGAACCCGGAGCCTTTGATGGCCTGAAGCTCAACTACCTGCGCATCTCGGAGGCCAAGCTCACTGGCATTCCCAAAGGTAGGAAGCTGGCACAGATGGCCAGAGCTGGGGCTGGGAGGCTGGAGCCAGCCAGCACCTCCCCTGCCTGGGGAAAGGCCTAGAGCCCTTCTCCGTGCCCCAGCTCTCCATCCAGCTTGGTGTTCCCTTGTTTCTGGGTAGATCTTCCCGAGACCCTGAATGAACTGCATCTGGACCACAATAAAATTCAAGCAATCGAGCTGGAGGATCTGCTCCGCTACTCCAAGCTGTACAGGTGGCAGCCGGAGCAGGCAGGCTGGAGGGGTGGGAGAGAGAGCACCAGTCCCCACCCACTGCCCTCTGACCTCCCGTGCCTCCCACAGGCTGGGCCTGGGCCACAACCAGATCCGGATGATTGAGAATGGGAGCCTGAGCTTCCTGCCAACCCTACGGGAGCTGCACCTGGACAACAACAAGCTGTCGAGGGTGCCCGCCGGGCTGCCCGATCTGAAGCTCCTCCAGGTGAGCAGGGGTGACAGCAGGGGGCCAGAGAGCCCTGGGCTGCCGGGTCCCTGAAGACTGCTGGAGGGCACAGAGACCTCGCCTAGAAACAGAGAAAAGCTCAACACCCTCAATGCCAAGGTCTTGGCTTGCAGCCACATGGGAGAACTTGGTCTTGTTCAGCCCTGCTGTTGCCCTCCACCTCTTCCTCAGCCCTATCACAAATGGTGGGAGTGCTACCCTCCTCCTCCTGCTTCTTCTGCTCCTCTTCTGTCCTGCTTCCGCACAGCCCAGCTGACACAGTGCTGCCCAAGCTAGGCTGAGTGCGCCCTCTAGTGGCCAGTGTTCTACTCAGCACCACTAGGTTGATGACTTGGTTTCTTTCACCACTACTCCCACCCCACCCCCACCCTGGGTACCAGGTGCTGCTGAGCACTGTAACGAGGGAGGGCTCTTTCACTGTAAAGAAGAGGGTCTCTAGAGTTAGAGGCACTCCCCTGCAGGCAAGCAGAGGCCCAGAGATCCCAGAAGGAGGGTCAGGGACTGACTGCATGCGTTGTGTCAGGACCAGTGGTGGCTCCCCAACTCTCCACCCACAAGCAGCCCCAATAGCAGCCCCTGCCCTGGCTCGCACCAAGCCCCTCGCTGCCCCGTCCACAGGTGGTCTACCTGCACTCCAACAACATCACCAAGGTGGGTGTGAACGACTTCTGTCCTGTGGGCTTCGGAGTCAAGCGGGCCTACTACAACGGCATCAGCCTTTTCAACAACCCTGTGCCCTACTGGGAGGTGCAGCCAGCCACCTTCCGCTGTGTCACTGACCGCCTGGCCATCCAATTTGGCAACTACAAGAAGTAGATGCAGCGCTACCTGCCATGCTGCCTGCAGTAAGGGTCTCTGCCAGAGGAAGCAAAGCAAGGGAGCCCTGCCTGGCTGTACCCCACCTGAGGACCCCATTCACCACCCTAACGTGCCTCTCCCCAGCCCCTCCTCCTGCGAGTAGCCACAGGTACAGCCCCCATCGTCCGCACCCTCGGCCTCCCGACTGTCTCGGCTCAGCCACCACAGCCACTCAGATGCACCCCTGCCAGCTTTCTTCCCTCACATTCCAAAAATCCACCTGGCCCAGGCTACAGTCCTAGGGAAATGGCCCATGGCCTATGAGGCCAAGGCAGGTAGGGGTTGAAGGACTCTGCTGAGGCCTCCAAACTCGGGCAGGCATGGCTTCCTCCTCATCAGCTCCTTCCATGTGTCTTTTAAGTTACTGGGCCCATTGCCCCTCGGCCTTTCCGTGTTAGGCACCTTGCTCTGTTGGCCCCTAGAACAGTCTGTCTGTCTGTTTCTCTGTCTCTGTCTCTCTCTCTCTCTCTCTCACACACACACACACACACACACACGCACACACACACATCCTGACTCTGTGCCTTAGGTTGACTCTGTCTCTGTCTTTCTGCCCAGCCCTGTCTTAGTCAATCTGGGGGCAACTGCCCCTCCTGGCCTGCCCTACCCAGGCCTTGCCACCAGCCCAGATGGTCCTGGAAGAGGTGAGCAGGTGAGGCCCTGCATCCGTGAGCTTTAGAGCAGCTTGTGCTCCACACATTCAAAAGGGAGCCTTTCTCCTGTCAGCTGCAGAGCCTCCTGGGCTGCACCTGAGACACAAGCGGGACCTCCATCAGCCATCTCCCGTGCCCCAGCTCCAAGAGACCACGCTTTTGAGGCCGCTGTCATCTTTCAATTAAAGAAATACCGTGCAACAGGACTCTGTGTGCTGCTGCTCGCCCTGAGGGGCCACCTCTGCTTCTGCTCGGTTGTCCTTGTCCTCACGAGAGGTTCTTCACCACTGTCAAGCCCCAGGCTGCAAAAAGCCAGCCTGCTCCCCTCCCTCCAGGCGCTTTCATTGCCCCAGCTGTCCTTGCCAGGCCTGCCATGGGCTCTACCATGCCCTTGCAGAATACTTGCCAGGCAGCTACTACTTCTGGGGCCCCGTGGGCCTTTTGCAGCAAGTGGTGGCAGGGTTAGGGGTTATGAAGTGAGCCCACCAGCCCCAGGTGTGCACGCAGGCCTTGAGGCGACTGCAGTGGGCAGGGGAGGGACAGGGCCTGATACACGCAAGGCACCATGCTGTGTGTACCATACAAGCCAGCGCAGCCTTGATTCCTGGCAGCCCCAGAGAGCCCACAGCTCCCTAGCAAAGCTTGTTTGGAGTGCACCCCGCCAAGGAAACAAGGCCCCTCTCAAGCAAGCCTGGTGAGCTGAGGCGAACCTGACCTGGGCTCAGCCTGGCTACCCTGCCCTGCACCTTGCAGAGCCTCTGGTTCAGCTGGTAGGAGCCTGGCTTTCCTGGGCAGGATGCTAGCAGCGGGAGCTGAGTGGACAAAGGCCAGTGCCATGGGCAAGAACTTGGAGTTACACGGCTGGCCTAACCCCAGGGCACCTGGCATTTCCCTGGTTCACTCAGCTAGAATGTCAGCAACGGCATCATAGCGCTATTCTGGGGCATGTGCTGCATGGCCAGCAGCCTCTGCTGAGCTGGGCAGGCCCAGGGCAAGGACACTGGCCACAGGCCAGGAATCCGGCTTCAGTCAAGTGCCCTCACTGGCAGGGAGGGGCGGCAGCCGGCTTCAGGACCTGGAAGACATGGAAATGAGCCTTTGCCCGGGCCTAGTGGCTGGGCCTATGGTGCTGAGTGCATGTTTTGGGGGCAACCCCATCCCCCTACCCCCAGATCTCTGTCTCTCTTCCTGCTTCCCACTGCACTGGCTATCTTCCTTTCCTGTGCTTGAGCACAGGGAGCGCAGCTGCCGTTATGACACCTGTTCCCACTTTCTCCTAGCTGCCTTTTGTGCTGTTACATGGATGGTGCACCTGAGGGCGCCCCGCAGGCAGCCCCCATGTGGGCCCCGGCCAGAGACTATGAGCTGCCTGGCTTGTGGGTCAGCCAAACAGCGAAGGTGGTTTTGACCGCAGTGATGTCCGAGTTACCTCCCGCAAGCTGACTACCCTCCCCCCACTCACTTGCAAGTTCAAGACTCTAACTGGGTCACAGGCCACAAGGATTGAGCCCCAAGAGCCGGCCTGGCTTGCAGGGATACTGGGCAGTCACTAGAAAGTGGCAGGTCGGGTGGGGTGGGAGAACACGTGCCAGCCCTGGTCATCGGGGCAGAGCGGCTGTGCCCAGTGACACAGTGTCACCTGGGGTGCCCCCTGCGGATATTGGCACCCTCTTCCATAAACAGGCTGAGAGCAGTGAGCGGTGGACCCCTCAGAGCTGGGGCAGAGCCCAGAGGGAGCTGTTCACACGCGCGGACATCTGCACAGAGAAGCACACTGCACACGCGGGAACACTGGTGGGCTGACCCCCAGAACCACGAGCATACACACAGCAAAGGAAGGAAGGAAGCAGTCGTTCCTGGAGCAGCTCACATGGGCAGCTGCTTGGGGCAGGAGGGGCTCGCGGGGCTCACTGCGAGTCAGGTGCCTGTGGAGGCGGAGGGCCCAGCAGGAGCCTAAGCCGAGTCCTCTGTTGGGGTTTAGACAAGCTGCGGCTTGTCATGGGGACAGCTGGCCAGGCGTGCGCAGAGCAGGGCTGCTGCCCAGGGATGGGGGCTATGGGTACTGATGCCAGCCAACCTGCAAGGCTTGAGGTGCACAGCAGGTAGGCTCTGGGGGCCCGCAGCACCACACAGCCGGCTGCAGTTTCTGTAACACGAGACCACAACTTGAGTGAGGAAACAGCAGCAGCTGGGCTGATGCTGTGGCTTAACAGTCTAATTCTCCACCTTCAAGTGCCAGGATCCCATGAGTGCTGGTTCTGGTCCCAGCTGCTCCACTTCCCATCCAGCTCCCTGCTTGTGGCCTGGGAAAGCAGTCGAGGACGGCCCAAAGCCTTGGGACCCTGCACCCACGTGGGAGATCTGGAGGAGGCTCCTGGCTCCTGGCTTCTGTTCAGCTTGGCTCAGCTCTGGCCATTGCAGCCATTTGAGGAGTGAAGCAACAAATGGAAGATTTTTCTGTCTCTCCTCTGTGTAAATCTGCATTTCTGATATTAAAAAAAGGAAGGGAAAGGAAAAAAGGGATAGAGTAAGGGAAAGGAAGGAAGAAAGAAAAAGAAAACAGCAGAGGCTGGGACTTACGTGGTTCTGAAGAAAGTTCAAGGTGTCAGGGGGGCAGCAGCTCCCCCAATGGCTCTAAGGAGCCTTCTTGTTGGCTCCAGGCGTCCCTTGATTGCAGTGCCCCCAATCTCTGTCCCCACCCCACCCCGCCTCCTTTCACAGACCCACATGCAATCGCTAATTCCTGACCCCCACCTTGGTCCCACGAAGGCCGCATTTCAAAGGAAGGTCACATTCCAGCCTGGGTGCGGGCGTGCAGCTACAGACGGTTCCATCATGCCCCTTGGCTGCAGGTGGTTGAAGGACTGCAAGCATTGTGACCTCAGCTCCCTGAGGGAAGATATGATGGGAAGGCTGGGGACCTGGGCTGGCCATGTCGGTATCCGTTTCAGGACTAGCCTTGACCTGGATGCCCCAGGGGAGGCGCGGAAACCACACTACAGTGGCAGCAGTGACAACCAGCAGAGAAGGGCCACAGCCCAGAGTCCGATGGAGGAGGTAGAGTGCGGAGCCTGCAAAAACCAACCTGGTCAGTGGGGGGCTGAGACAGAAAAGGACCCTGACGAGGCACAAGACACAATTTGGGTTGAAGAAGCTTCTAGCCAACATTCTTCCCATGTTCTTTACAGGTGCGGGTATTGCCTGCTGACCCCAGGGCCGCCTCTGCTGCTGCTGCTGACCATTCGCTCTTTGGGGACCACAATTTGCTTAGGACCTGGGGACGGCCCCCATGGCACTTGTCAGACAGGCACCTAACATGGCTGATGAGCGTATCATGCCCCCGCCTCAGGTTTCTCTCACTGGTACATGGGGCCTCCAGTGGTGTTTTTTTTTTTTAACATGGCACCCACATATGCACACTAGATCAGCTTCACAATTGGCTCCAGGGAACATGAGGTGACTCTCAGCTCCTGTATCCCTAGCTGGAATGTGGGGTGACACCAAGTACACCTAGAAGGTGGCAAGGCTCTCACACGGTAGCCAGTACCTGGTTCCTAACACGTATGCGAAGACATGGGGGCTGCCTCTGGCTCCTGCTCCACCGTGCCTGCCCCAGGCTCCCGGGCTGCGGGGAGTGGGAGAGGGAGCAACCTCCTTACCCGTATGCAAGTGTATGTAAATCGACATGGACATGTGGATCATTGGCAGTAGGCAGGACTGCATGCACAGGCCAAGTGACGGAGCTGCTGTGTGTGAGTGTGTATCCGCATGACACAGTGAAGGTGCAACAGCATGGGACTGTGAATCACTGGCACGCATGGCAGCGGTGAGTGTGAGAGGGTGTGGGACAGGGGGCACTGCGTGGCTGAGGCCATTGGGAAGGGCATCCCTTCCTGAACCTGAGCCCCCAGAGCTACGGTGTGTATAGCCTCCCATGGCTGTGCCAGCAGCACCCAACTCCTGCACAGGTCATGAGACACCCTGGGGCCTTCTGCATCCAGTCTCTCTTATCTGCCACATACTCCCCCCTGCTGCTGGGGGTGACACTTCCAGGGGACTTGTCACTCCTCTGGGCCTCCACCTTGCGTCTACCAGCTGCTCACAGCTGGCAGCAAAGACCTGGTGGGGCATCTCAGGCCTTTGCCCATGATCTGGAAAGCTTGGGGGCAGCTCCAGGGCTTCCTTCTGCACCTGTGCACACGTGGGAACAGGCAGGTGCCTGCGCTGGGGTCGCCTGCAGTGGTCTCCACCTGTGTCTGTCTCCAAGTGTCCACTTGGGTGCAGCCATCGGCTTTGCAGCAAGCCATTAAGCGACGTGTGTCATATGAGTCACAAGCCTGTGGATCAGCAGACCACCAGCCCTTGGAGGGCATCAGTCCCCACGCCAGCTGCCCAGCTGCATGCTCACTTTACCATAGGGCAGCAAACTGGAGACACAGTGGCAGCCGTGTGCCCCTCTACCCATGTGCTCACACATTCCGGCCACTTTCTTTGCCCCCAGTCTTCACTCATGCCCACCCCCCCGCTTAATCAATGCCCTGTAGGACAATACCAGGTAGGGAAGAATACAATGCACGTGTGAGTACTAGGCTCGTGGCCCCCGTGGCCTCTGTGCGCCCACCCTCCCCCACCCACCCCCACTGTATCTGTAACCCCTGCCTTCCCTTCTCTTCCCTCCTGCTCTTCTTCATCTTCGTCTTCTTCTTCCTCCTCCTCCTCCACCACCTCCTCCTCCAACTCCCTCCCCTCCCCCTCCCTGCCTCCCTCCCTTCTTCCCTCCCTCCGCGCTCAGAGCTGCGGCTGGAGCTGAGCACACCGCGTCGCCCGCCGCCGGTGCGGAGCGTGGGGCGCACTCGGCCGCAGCCCTCGCCAGCCGCGGAGAGTCGCGCCCCACGCCGCCGGTCAGTCCGCCCCGTGTCTTGGCCTTTCCGTCCTTGGAACGGATTGTTGCCCGCCGGGCGCCCGCCTGCAGCGACTGCGCCCGCCAAGGCCGCGGTGGCGGCCGTGCCCATGCCCGGGTAAGTGGTGCCCGGGGCGCACAGGCACCAACCGGGTGGGCGCTCGGGCGGGGGCGGGGCGGGAGGGCTGCCCAGCAGGTGGCGCGGCGGCAGGTGGGGGGGGC